AGGTTGGGTGTATCTGCCCTCGCTTCTGTTGAATCACTGGTACCACATTCGCTCTCACGGCCCTGTTCTCCCACCCCTCTGAGCAGGGGTTCTCATGTTCAAGGACAAGAGTAAGCCTGTTATCCCACCTGTGTCCTATGACTAAAGCAAGAGGCATGGTATTGGCAGAGAATTTTGCAATAAGATGTCCAAGCCTCTCCCACCCTCGAGTTTAAATGTGGCAGGAACACTACATGTGGGTTACATTTGGTATTTAGATCCTCAGAGAGTCACTGGATTAGAGTATATGCCCTGAGAAAGCCAGAAGTGGAGTTGCTAATAGGGCAGTCAAAGAACTGAGAATAAAGGCAGGGAGACCCCAAATTGCTTTCTGTCCCAAAGAGCAAGAGTGCATTAATAAGGAGGAAATGGAGCCAAGAAAAAAAGAGTTAGATGGAAATTAGGACAGAATAGAAACAAGTCACAACCAGCAAAAGAGGACTTATGTAATTTGTGTAATTTCTACAAACAATACTAAAGGTGCTGAGCATGTCTTTTTGGTTTCTTGATGAGTAAGATGCGGAAGTGTTGAGATAGTTTGAAGTTAAAAACTCCCTTTCACTTCATGTATTCCTTTCTAGAACCCATATTTGTACCTAAACTTCTTATATATATCTTTTTATTTTATGTTTGTTTATTTAACTTTATTATTGATATTTTCCAGATTGATAAGACAGACAAAGAGAGAAATAAGGAAACTGAGAAAGCAAGCCACCAGGTTCAGGACTTGAACCATGGTCAGCCACATGGGAGTCCAGCACCTTTAACCACCATGTCGCCTGCAGCCCCTATTTATATATATTTTTTAAATTTGCTATAGGGTGTGTGCCAGAGAGAGACAGAGAAAGTGAGAAAGCGCTTCCTCCCAAGGAGGGATGGCTATGTTGCAATCCCTTCTCCTCTATTCTCCTTTTAGGACTTTGGGTGCACTCATGCACACGTCTGGTGTTTTTCAAGCTACTAGGTCTGGGACTCAAACTATGCAGTCAGCCATGTGAGATCCAGTCACCCTAACCATCACACCCGGCTGGCCTTTACCTAACCCTCTTTTCCTTCTAATTAAGTAGAATGAAATGCCACACTTTATTTAAGTGTAGCATCTTTGCCTGTGTTTTTGAGCCCATGCTCATCATCCCAGTCAACGGTCAGCAAAGATGAACTGAGTGGTTCTTCATTTTTCACATGTTCTCTACTCTCTGTGTCTCTTTCTCTGTTGGCTTCTTCTCCTAGAAAGCCTATAAATATGCTCAATACTTTTTCATGAAAACAAACACAAAAACATGGCCTGAAACTAATATCATTATCTTTACTTTCAAACCTGCTACACCTTTGGTTTTAGTAAAGAACACATTTATACCCACAAACCAGAATCCTGGAAAGAGCCTGTGTTTTTCCTACTTATTCTATTCAAATATTCTCCTTGAGACCAGTCTAAGTTGTCACCTCTAACATAGATGGAACTTAGAATAATTACCCTCCAATAAAAGGGGACCATGGGCTGTGGTGTCTTTGAGGGAGACATAAATTAGAAATGGCCAGAACTAAGACCAGTTGGAAGATCACTGCTTTATCTGAGTGAAGAAAATGATGGCCTTACCTACCCAGGAGCAGTAAGAATGCTAAGAAGGAAATATGTCCGATAGTCATAAGGAGAAGGACTGCTTTGGTACCCGATTAAGTGTGAAGAATAAGTAGGAAAAATACAGGCTCTTTCCAGGATTCTGGTTTGTGGCTATTCATGCGTTCTTTACTAAAACCGAAAGAGCAGCAGGTTTGAAAGTAAAGATAATGATATTAGTTTCAGGCCATGTCAAATTTGTAGTTTCTATCAGCTGCCCTGGTAGAAACATCGCAGTCAATTATAAATAGCATAGGTTCATGAAAGTTGTTTTGGGTATAGAGATGGATTTGAAAATCATTATCCCTGGATGGAAGTCAAAGTCAAGTGAGTGAAAAAGACTACTTAGGGATAGTGTTTTCTTTTGTTTTAATTAACGAATGGAACCTCTTTAGCTAGAGGCCCTGTATTTATTTTTTCTTTTCCTGATGGTCAGTAGTCCTCATTTTGTTTCATTTATATGCAAGTGAGCAGGAGAGAGGAGAGAATGACAGAGAGACACACGTTATTTTTTCAGTTTCTTATTTCTTCCATGAATAGGAGAAGAAAAAAAGGGAAGCACCTGCACGTTGTGATCTTCATGCTGTGATCCACCATCAGTCTCTGCAAATCTGGATCACAGGCATGCATTTGTGCTTGGTGTATACAAGGAGACCTTGTGGTTCAAACCAGGGACTTTCCCATGTGGGACCAGTTGTACTACTGCTGTGCTACCTCCTGATTCCTCCCATACAGTTTTCATGTCCCCATCCACCCCCAGCATCAGCCAGCCCCATATCATAAACAAGCATGTGCCCAAAATACTCAGGGAGGTCTCCAGGCATGAACCCGGAATCTTTTCACATGAGAACCCTCACAGAGCTGTTGAGCTTTACTGCTTTACCACTGCCCAGCCCTGAGAGAGCTATTTGTGTGAGTTTTGCTGTGTAGCAATACTCCTACCCAGCCTCCAGTTAGCTAAAACCACAGGTGCTCAGCCTGTCTAGGTTAGGTTAGGAGCCAAACCTAGATCTCCCAGACGGCCTCAGTAGTGGACACTTAACACTTTCCCCACTATGGCTGAGCCCTGATTTGTTATTTTCATTGAAATTGTTCACTATCTTCATCCTGACAAAAATTGTCTTCATTGTGCCAGCTGCTAGGAATAAAACAGTAAAAAGCCTAGTTACTTCCCCACTGCTTTACTTATTTCTTGCTATCTACCTTCAATTACTTAATATTAGAGTATGGGGCCAGCAGGTGGTATGGTGGTTGAGGTGCTAGACATTTCTACATGGCTAACCACGGTTTGAGTCCTGAATCTGGTGGCTTGCTTTCTCATTTTTTCCCTTCTCTCTCTCTCTAGTCAAATTTTAAAAATGAATAAATAAAACTCAATAAAATAATTCTTTAAAAAATGTGAATTAAATTAAAACAATTATTAGAGTATGAACTCTATTTTTTCTTCTATTAGAATATAAGCTACCTACAGAAAGACCTTTTGTTTCATTCTTTACTGTATTCACAGTGACTAAACAAGGCATTCCAAAAACATTTATTAAACGAATCAACGAAAAGTTTGAAATATAAGGTCCATAAGGTAAACTCTTTTTTTTTTTTTTTTTTTTTGGGAGGTTTTTTGGATAGGGGGCACAACCTAGGTTTTTGGTATAGGGTGCATACGCTCGGTAGAAAGACAGAGAGAGACAGAGAGACAGAAAACAAGAAATCACCCCCCAGAGGGGATGGCCACGCAGCAATCCCTTCTCCTCCATTCTCCTCTCAGGATCTTGGGCACGCACGCACACGCGCCCAGCCTGAGTTTAAGCCACTGGGTCTGGGATTGGAACCTCGGTCAGCTACATGGGAGGCCAGCGACATAGCCATTACACCAACTGCTAGTCCCAAGGTAAACTCTTATAAACCAATAGAACAACTGCTATAAAAGTCATTGCTGTTCTAGATTTATTTTCATCTTATTAATTAAACCAGAAAAAGAAAGATCAAGTAGAAAATAATAAAGAGTCCATCTTATACCAGTTAGGATGACTACTACTAAAAAAATTTAAAATTAACAAGTGTTATGGAGGATGAAGAGAAATTTAAACCCTTTTTACACTATTAATAGAAATACAAAGTGAGGGGCCAGCAGGTGGTGTGGTTAGGCCACTGGACTCCTATATGGTGGATTGTGGTTTGAATCCCAGATCTAACAGCTTGCTTTCTCACTGTCCCTCTCTCTCTGGTCAAATTAAAAACTAATAATAATAAATAAAATAAATCTTTTTTTTAAAAAAGAAATATAAAGCGATACAGTTGCTCTGAAAAACAATATGGTGTTTCCTCAACATTTTAAAAATAGAATACCACATAATTCAGCAATTTCACTTCTGTAAATAGTCCCAAAAGGATTGGAAGTAGGATTTTCAAGAGATAGTTGTACACTCATGTTCAGCATTATTCACAATAGCTAAAAGGTGAAAGCAAAGTAAGTGATCATCAGTGGATGAATGGATAAACAAATGTATATATTTTACATACCATGGAGTATTACTCAACCTTAAAAAGGAAGAAAATCCATACTAAAATATAGGTGAATCTTGAAGATTTATGTTAAGTGAAATAAGTCCATCACAAAAAGGACGAATACTATATATCATCCTGCTCATATAAGTCCTAAAGAGTAGTCAATTCACGGAGACAGAAACTAGAACGGTGGTCGCCAAAAGGTAGAGATGAATGGGAATGTAGAGTTAAAAACTGCGGAGTTTCAGTTTCACAAAATGAAGAGTTCACCAGATGGATGGCAGTGATGATGGCATAGTGACTGTACATTGAAAAATGATTGAGATGGTAAATTTATATTTTACCATAACTTTTTAAACTTAAAAAAAAAAAAAAAAAAAAAAAAAAAAAAAAGCTGCCTCATGGTAGAAGATAAGCAGGGAGATGAGCGCGGTTTGCGTCCTGGACCCGGTGGCTTAAACTCACGCCAGGAGCGTGTGTGTGCGTGCCCAAGATCCCGAGAGAGGAGAATGGAGAAGGGACTGCGGCGTGGTCATCCCCCCGGGGGGTTATTTCTCGCTTTCTGTCCCTCTTGTCTTCCTGGGGAGCGCAAGCGCCCTATAGCAAAAACCTCTGCCTCCCCCACCCCCCCCCAAAAAAACCCAGCTAAGACCGCATTAACAATCCACATCAATTAAAACCAGCAGGGACCTGAGAATCCCCGTTGGCCAGCCATAACTCAGTTTAATCACCAGGCTGTAGGAACAGGAAACCAAGGGCGTGTCAAGGGCAGGCCCCTGCTCTGCGTAATGCGGGGCTGCAGAGAAGCCGAAGCCGCAGAGAAGCCGAAGCCGCAGATGCAGAGAAGACACAGGTTAAAGCAGGTCAACTCTCTGACTAGCTTGCCGCTGCGCAGGCGCATATAGAGCTGCCAAGGCGCTTTTTAAACGTACCCGGAAATGACGCACGTAACTCTGAGACAGGTTCAGAAAATCGCCTAGGTGAATCGCAAAGCTGGGCAGGCGCGGGGTAGTCCTGCTGCTATGAGCTGCACCATCGAGAAGATCCTGACAGACGCCAAGACGCTGCTGGAGAGGCTGCGGGAGCATGATGCGGCCGCAGAGTCGCTGGTGGATCAGTCGGCCGCGCTGCATCGGCGGGTGGCGGCTATGCGGGAGGCGGGGACAGCGCTTCCGGACCAGGTCAGGCAGAGGGTAGGGATTCAGTGCCCTCGGGTTCTGGGCACTTGAAGGGTGGAGAACGAGGTAAAGTGGGAACTCGGCCTGGAATTTATTTCCGGTCTCAGAGGGCGGCGGTGAGACCTGTCTGCGAGGTGGGCTGAGAATCCTGCACCTGCCGCTCTTCTGTTTACGGCGCTCTTAGTCTGTCTCTGTTTGTACAGTATCAAGAAGATGCATCCGATATGAAGGACATGTCTAAATACAAACCTCACATTCTGCTGTCTCAAGAGAACACACAGATTAGAGACTTGCAGCAGGAAAACAGAGGTTAGTCAGGCCTTTTTTTTGTGTAGTTACTGTGATTTTTTTTTTCACATCCGGTAATAGTTTGAAAGTTCTCATAAAACCACATTAATAGTTCACAAAAGTACACATCCTTATATGTATTTGCTAGTCAATACTTTTAATAGCGTTATCCTGTGCAGGCCCTGTAACAATAAGGTTTGTTATCTCTTTCAAGGTCATCCAAGTTTATATTTATAAACAGCTTATCAGGTTCAGCCTCCTGGCTTACTGGTTAAGGAATCAAATCCCACATGGTCCACTGGGGTTGGAACTCCAGTCGGGCAGCTTGAGAAACAGGGTGGAGTGCATGCCCAAGATCCTGACCAGATGGAGAAATGGAGGAAAAAGGATTGCATTGTGACCACACCCTATGGAAGGATGCTTTCTCCCTCTCTGGCCAGAATTTATGCCCTCTGAGCAATTAGGAAAATCAACAACTTATCAAAGAGGTGCTTAGTAGAGTTGGATTATCCTGTAGCTCTTTTTTAGGCACCCCCTTTTGGTACCAAGATGGAGGCTTGCATAACAAAAGAGTTTGTATCCTCAGGGGCTTAAAATTTAATATTTTAACACTGAAGTTAAGATTGAAGATTTTGTTTGCTCTTGTGCAAGGAGGAAGAGCAGAATGTTTTTCAGTGGGGTATATATTCTTAGGCTTGTTGAGTACATTAATAATAGTATCAAAGTTGTACATCAGTTTACAGAGAGCTTTCCCATACATCATTTCACTGTTCTTATCTCTTAATTTTGAAGTTAACAAGTAAGGTATTTATTATAGTGCAGTTAAGAAATAGGCTCTGAGAGGTTAAATGATGTAGTAAAAGTAGGTCACAGAAGTGAACTCAAACCCACATCTTCTGGAGGATCCTAAACCTCCAACTCTTAGGTGTTTGCCTTTAGGACTATCTCACCAACATCACTGCCAAGTTATTTTATTTTCTTTTTTCATAGAACTGTGGGTTTCCTTGGAGGAACACCAAGATGCCTTGGAACTTATCATGAGCAAGTATCGGAAACAGATGTTACAGCTAATGGTTGCTAAAAAAGCAGTGGATGCTGAACCAGTCTTGAAAGCTCATCAGTCTCACTCTGCAGTAAGAAACTTTGATGAATAATTGTTAAGTGTACTAAATTCATGAGATTGGGCAAGCCTCAAGGCCTAGTGGTGAAACAAACTGTATCCCACATGGCTAAGCACAGTTTGAGTCCCAGGCCAGTAGCTTGAAAATCATGCAGAGTACATGTGTATGAATACTGAGTGTCTTTTTTTATTTTTGAAAGGGCACATGTGCTTGTGCAGAGACAGAGAGACAGAAAGCGAGAAATCACCCCCCCAAGGGGGAATGGCCCCCCAGGGGGAGATGGCCACGCCACGATCTCATCTCCATTCTCCTCTCAGGATCTTGGGCACGCACACACATGCACCCGGCGTGAGTTTAAGCCACTGGGTCTGGAACTCAAACTGTGGTCGACTACATGGGAGTCCAGCGACATAGTCATTATACCAACTGCTGGTCCCAATATGAGTATCTTGACTAGATGGAGAAATGGAGGAAAAGGGATTGTGGTATGACCATTCCCTGTTAGGGGACGAGGGTGCTTTCTCCCTCTCTCTCTGCCTCTGACAAGTGTATATACCCTTTGGCAATTAACAAAAAAAGAAAAGAGGGAGTAGCAGGTGGTGTAGTAAAGGTGCTGGACTCCCACATGGTCGACCATGGTTTCAGTCCCCGACCTGGTTGCTTGTGATAAAAAAGAGCGAGGGGTGTGTGTGTGTGTATGTGTGTGTGTATATATATATATATATATATATATATATATGCCCAAATTCCCAAATGGAGAATGGAGGAAAAGGGATTAGGGCATGGCCATCCTCCTGGGAGGGTTATTTCTCACTTTCCCTCTCTGTTTCTCTTTCTCTCTCTGGTGAGAGAGCAAAAACCTACAAAGAAAAGAAAGAAAAAGAAATCATAAGACTGTTTTAGATCGTTTGTTTTTTGTTTATGTTTTTGTTTTTGGAGAGGTTTTTGCTATAGGGTGCATGTGCTCACCAGAAAGACAGAAACAGAGAGACAGAAAGCAAGAAATCGCCCCCCAGGGGGATAGCCACGCTGCAATCCCTTCTCCTCCATTCTCCTCTCAGGATCTTGGGCACGCATGCACACACGCCTGGTGTGAGTTTAAGCCACCGGGTCCGGGACTCAAACTGCGGTCGACTACATGGGAGTCCAGCGACATAGCCATTATGCTAACTGCTGGTCCCTAGATCGTGTGCTTTTGAAGAAAAGTAATTTTTTTAATGTTTATTACATTTGTAGTTTATTTTGCTATGGCTTTGTAAATATAGAAATAGAAACAAGGTGGGCCAGCTGGTGGCATGGTGTATAAGGTGACTGGATTCCACATGATCAGTTGTGCAGTTGTCCTAAATTGGACAGCCTGAAAACAGACCAGACATGTGTACATGTGTGCCCAAAATCCTAAAAGAGGGGAGACAGAGAACAAAGAGATTGTAGTATGACCATCTCCCATAAGTGTGCTTACTCCCTCACCCCTTGAACACACAAACCTAGCAAATTAAAGAAAGAAAGAAAGAAAGAAAAGAGATGAGGGGCCTCTCTCTCTCTTTCTCTCTCTCTCTCTCTCTCTCTCTCTTTTGTGGAGTAGGACTGAAGTTCCTCCCTGTATCATTAAGATCTCTTTTCAGGATGTTTATGAATGCTTATCTTTTTAAGATATTCATGAAAGCTCAGCTCTTCCACCAAACATAATGCCAGTTAATGCTGAAGGTGCTCAGTTAACACTTGGGTAGCTTTTTTTTTTTTTTTTTTTAGAGAGATTTTTGCTGTAGGGTGCATGCACTCACTGGAAAGTCTCAGAGAGTCGGAGTGACAGAAAGTAAGAAATCACCCCTCAGTGTGGATGGCTATACCACAATCCTAGAGTCATGTATCATGTAGCAGTGGGGATATAATCTGAGAAGTGCATCAATATGCCCTTCTGTGTGAACATTTTCTACACCTAGATGGTACAGCCTACAGCACGCCTAGGCTGCATGGTATGATCTTATGGGACCACTGTGGCATTGGGTTGTCAGGAAAGTCATGACGCGTTTTTGTATAGAGAAACAAAAAAAATACGGGACCAGCAGGTGGCGTGGTGGTTAAAGCGCTGGACACTCCCACATAGCAGACCATGGTTCGAGTCCTGGGCCTGGTGTCTTGCTTTTTCACTTTACCCCTTTCTCTCTCTTTCTTTCTTTCTTTCTCTCTCTCTCTCTGTGGCTCTCTCTGGTCAAATTAAAATGAATGAATGAATCAATAAAAGTAAATGCAATAATTAAAAAAAAAAAAAGAGAACTGTTCCTTTAAAAAAAAAAAAGAAAAGAAACAAAAAAATACATCATGGCTTTCCAGCTACTTAATATATATGGTCCATTGTTGACTGGAACATTGTTATGTAGTGGTACTTGACTATATATAGAATCTATTATGTTATGTTAGGAGAGAGAAATATGGTTTAAAAGGCCAGAGGATAGTATTTATGGCCAGAGGATAGTTTTTATACTTTGGTTGCTTATGATTTATTGAAAGACCTAGTTATTGTTAGGTGTACAGAGTGCTCCATAGATCTCATTGTACATTCACATGTACTGTATCATTTAATCCTGGATTCATAGATACGAGGCTGTTTGCTACAGTGAATTGTAGTGAAAGAAAAGTTTCATTTTACATTCCATTGCATGCATTTTTCTGACTTAAAAGTTTCCGAGACTGAGGATAATTTAAATATTTAAATGGCTTTCATCTAGAAGAGGAAAAAATAAATTGTATATTCTGTGTCCTGGATTAAAAACTTTGATCCTTGAAGGTGACAGAGGTTAGCTCATGTCTTTCTAAGAGACACATCCAACACGTGTGTGCGTGCGTGCCCAATAGAATAAAGTACCTTGGAATGTGATAGATCTCCCACCGGTAAAAGTATTTAAACTTAAGTTAAACAGCCACTTAGAGGTATTGTCCAATATCCAATGGGCACGTAGACTATAAGTGATCTTTTGAAAACAAAAATTATTTGTGACCAGCACAGAGTTACTTTATTATAGCTTTACCTATGAGGACTCAGGTTATAGTGACACTCCATTGTAATTTGGGTAGCATAGATTAAATGAACTTTTAAAAATCATAATGAGGGCCAGTGGTGGTATGGTAGTTAAGACCACTGGATCCCACATGGCCAACTGTACAGTTCAAGTCCCAGCCCCTGTGACTTGAGAAACACACTAAGCATGTGTGCATTTGTGCCCCAAATCCTGAGAGAATGGAGAAGAAGGGACTGCAGTGTGGTCATCCCCCAGGGGGTGATTTCTTACTTTCCCTCTCTGTGTCTCTGTCTCTCTCTGAGCTCTAAACCAAAACTTTTTTAAAAAAATACATGTCCTCATGTGCTTCATAGCTGTTGAAGATTACCTTTTCACATTTGTTTCTTAATATTTTCACAGGAAATTGAGAGTCAGATCGACAGAATCTGTGAAATGGGAGAAGTGATGAGGAAAGCAGTTCAGGTGGATGATGACCAGTTTTGTAAGATTCAAGAAAAACTAGCCCAATTAGAGGTAAGATTGTTGCTATTTTAAGTTCATAATATTTCAGATTTTTCAGAGTCTGGTAGGTATGTCATCACTGTCCTATTGCTGCAATATACTGATGTTTTCTGTGTGCTCATGACTTAAAGTTAAAACTCCTCTTTCATACCCTTTTCAAGAAAGGAAACATAGTAAATGCAATCATTGGAAATACTACCTGTGGGCCAGCAGGCATTGTGGAGGTTAAGGTACTGGATCCCACATGGCTGGCTACATGGTTTAAGTCCCAGACCCAGCAGCTTGAAAACCATGCTGGGCACAAAAGCCCAAAAAGAGAATTGCAGCATGACCATCTCCCCAGGGCATGAATTCTCACTTTCCTTCTTTCTTGCTCTGTCTTTCTGGTGAGCCCAGGTACCCTACAGCAAAAACTAAAAATAGGAAAATAGAAAAAATACTACCTGTATATTGGTTCTAATCTACTATATTGGGAGGGTAGAGAGAGTGGACAGGATTGGTCATATGTGAGCTAAAATCCCTCCTCTGCCATAATAGGAAGTCTAATAGATAATGTCTAAAATTGAAGATTAAGAAATAACAATGCAGGGGACCAGCAGTTAGCGTAATGGCTATGTCGCTGGACTCCCACGTGGTCGACCGCGGTTCGCGTCCTGGACCCGGTGGCTTAAAACTCATGCTGGGCGTGTGTGCGTGCATGCCCAAGATCCTGAGAAGAGAATGGAGGAGAAGGGATTGTGGCGTGGCCATCCCCCCCGGGGGGGGGGAGGTGATTTCTCGCTTTCTGTCTCTCTGTCTGTCTCTGTCTGGTGAGCGCATGCGCCCTATAGCAAAAAAAAAAAAAACAAAAAAAAAAAAAACCCCTCTCCAAAAAAAAAAAAGAAAGAAAGAAATAACAATGCCTATAGACCTACTATTTAGACTTATGGAAGTAAAAAACAAAAGAAATAGATATAAGTATTAAAAGTAGTTGCCGGGCCAGCAAGTGGCATGGAGGTTAAGGCAACAGGATCCTCTGAAGTTTGATTTATTGGTCATGGGCTCTGAATTATTGGCAAATCTGAAAATCATTTAATAGAATTTTCTAGAGAGAATTGAAGATGAAAACTGTTAACTACCCTGTTGTCAACTATGTGGAAATCAAAGGTAATGATAGGCCCCCGGTAGAAATCGATTGAATGATAGAATGATGTTATTTACAAGATCCTTGATTTACTTCAGTTATGGAAACAACCTCAAGGAAATGTAGGACAGGGACCAACAGATGGCGAAATGGTTATGTTGCTGGACTCCCACATGGCCAACTGTGGTTAGAGTCCTGGACCTGGAGGCTGGAAACTCACAACAGGCATGAGTGTGCGTGCCCAAAATGCCGAGACGAGAATGGAGGAAAAGGGATTGCCGTGTAGCCCTCCCCCCAGGGGGTTGATTTTTCGCTTTGTCTCTCTGTCTCTCTTGTTATCTCCAGTGAGCACACATGCCCTATAGCAAAAATCTCTCTCAAACAAAGGAAACGGAGGACAAATTTTGTTAATACTTCAAGTGGAAAAAACATGGCCCTTGCATTCAAACCCCAGTAATACCACATCCCAATTGTCTGAATTTGGAAAGGTTTTAGTATTTTAAGCCATGGTGTCTCCATCTTAAATAGAATGCAGATGTAGGCAATGACTCCTTCCCCACAAATTGTTGTGAGGTAACATAATGTACCCACATGGTTCCTGGCTACATGCCCAGTAAGTAAATTTTTCTCTACCTTCCATTCTCTACAGCTATAGGACAATTAAGAGAGGAGATTAATCAAAGTGCAAAGATGATTAGGAATTTGAAAAAATAGAAGAAACAATAGTAATACTTGGGAAAACCCATGAGAAACAGTAAATTCCCCAATGGAACTGGAGAGAGACCTTCTTTCTTTTCTTGTTTGTTGTTGTATCACTTGGTAGATAGAAATTACTCAGTAAATGTTTATAAAATAAATAAAGAGGTAATGTTTTAGAAAATTCTCACTGGTTTATTTTCTTAAATTTTTAAAAATTAAAATGTTTTCTGGGCCGGCAGGTGGCATAGTGGTTAAGGTGCTGGACTCTCACATGGCTGACTATGGTTTAAGTCCTGGACCTGGCGGCTTGCTTTCCTGCTCTCTCTCTCTTTCTGGTCAAATTTTTTTTTTAAATGCATAAAATTAAATAATAATTCTTTAAAAATAATACAGACCAGCAGTTGGCAAAATGGCTGTGTTGCTGGACTCCCACGTAGTCAGCTGCAGTTCGAGTCCTGGACCTGGTGGCTTAAACTCACACTGGGCGCATGTGCGTGCATGCCCAATATCCCAAGAGGAGAATGGAGAAGATGGGATTGCGGTGTGGCCATCCCCCTGGGGGGTGATTTATTGATTTCTGTCTCTCTGTCTCTCTCTGTCTTTCTGGCGAGCACATATGTCCTATAACAAAAACCTCTCCAAAAATAAATAAATAAATAAATAAATAAATAATAATAACATGTTTTCTTTTCCTGGCCCAAAACAGTATTTTCTGATGCAATTTGATAGTAAACATCCAGGAAATAAACATATGCCTTTTTTTTTTCCAGCTTGAAAATAAGGAACTTCGAGAACTATTATCCATCAGCAGTGAGTCTCTTCAGGCCAAAAAGGAAAATTCAATGGACACTGCTTCCCAAGCCATCAAATAACTGAACTTCTGAATGATGGCTGGAGATGGTCTATCAAGGAAGTCATCTTTCTACTGGAGTACTGGCTGTTCAGTGTGTTGCCTCAGACTTGATGTAGTATTAATTAAAGGTATCAGGTGGCAGTTTAGAATTCCCAATCAATACGGCTGTCCACAGAATAGTTTTGGGGCTTATAGTGAGTTTCACCATTCCTTTCTCCAAGAGACTACTTTTCATTTTCATTTTCATTTCTGGGACCTCAATTTATAAAAGTTCAATTTTCAGTTCATTTTGTTTTTTTATATCTCTGAAACATCAAGCATTTTATTATAAGCCAGCAATTTTATTTTAGATAGGATTGTAAAATATACTTCTAAGAATTCTTAAAAGAGACTTAACTTTTTAAACCTATTTGGCATAAACCAGATTTTTTTCCATTTGACAAAAGTAATACTGTTTCATAGATTGGCAGATTCTCTAATTTGTAATGTCATTCACCTATGAAGTTTTAAGTTTCTGGTGCTAAGAATTGGTACTTTGTGGCTTGGTGTCTTCTAATTTAAGAGAACCTATTGCCAATCCCTAGGAAACATACTTGAAAATAAGACATCCTTTTTTTCCCCAGTTATAGGTAGTTGTCATGTTTTTCAGAGAATGCTGAGAAATGTCCTGTGTATGTACACCCACGTGCTTAGTTCAAATGCTAAAAGTATTTTTATTTATTTTATTAAATATACATAATCAATTTTGCAGTTTTGTCCTATTAGGAAATCTTCAACTTGGGTGGTTTGCACAGGGAAGGGTATATCATAGATTTATTTCTATCATAGTTCTTAGGTACTGTACTATTCACTTTATACATAACTTCTGTTTCATAGTTAAGGTCCATCACTTAGTTGTCTTTCATTACTAGCACTAGTAGTTGGCTTTCTTTTTATTTTTGTTTGTTTGTTTGTTTTTTAAATTTTGCCACAGGGCACACGTCATTGTTGGAGGGAGAGAGTGAGCCAGAAATCACCTTCGTGCAGTTCCTTCTCCATTTCTCCCTCCTGCTGGGATTTTGGGCATGCATGCATATGCGCCTTTTGTGTTTTTCAAGCCGCCAAGTCTGGGACTCAAAGCACACAGCTGGCCATGCGGGGGTCCAGCTGCCTTAACCACCAAACCACCTGTTGGCCCTGTCTTTCCTTTTAGATTCATTTTTTCATGTGGAAGCAGTTTTATTACCTAATGAGAGCAATTACATTTGTGATGCTGTGCAGGCAACAACACTGAGACTTACATGCTAGGTGGTGAGCTGAGTTCTCGTATAAACTCCCTTACCTGTCACAGTGTACACAGTGTACTCACCTTTCAAATTTATTACCTCATGTTATACTGTGTATTTGGCCAAAAAGTTGAACTAATTAATACTGAATTTTTCAGTATTTTCCAACATAAAGCCCAGTACTACACAGAAGTCAGACAGTATTAAAAAGGGTTTGGTTTTTTTTTTTGTTTTGTTTTTGAGAGGTTTTTGCTATAGGGAGCGTGCGCTCTCCAGAAAGACAGAGAGAGAGAGATAGAAAGCGAGAAATCACCCCCCGGGGGTACGGCCACGACTCAATCCCTTCTCCTTCAGTCTCCTCTCGGGATCTTGGGCACACATACACAGGCACCCGGCATGAGTTTAAGCCACCTGGTCCAGGACTCGAACTGCAGTCAACTACATGGGAGTTCAGCGACATAGCCATTACGCTAACTGCTGATCCTAAAGAGTTTTTTTTGTTAGTGTTCGGTGTGATGTAAAATTTCTTCTGTACAGATTTATAGAACTCCAGTTAAAGGGACAAAAACTCTAAAATGTCCTAAAAGCATCTGATCCCAATAATACCAGTCAACTTTGGATAAAATAGTGGGCGTTAATGAATGGGTACATGTCATTTTAGACTTTGTCGAATTTCTGTGAGATGTCCTAGAAAATACTTGACAGAAAAACACTTCCACCCCACATGTGAGCATTTTTTTTTTTTAATAATTTTATTTCAGTCTCTGGTGACTTTAAAAAAAAAAAAAAAAAAAACACCTTCATTTTATTTTATACTTTAAAAAAAAAAAAAAAAAAAACTCATTCATTTACTTTAATTTGACCAGAGGGAGACACAGAGAGATACAGAGAGAAAGGAAAAATGAGAAAGCAAGTCCAGGACTTGAACCATGGTCAACCATGTGGGAATGTCCAGTGCTTTAACCACCTTGCCACCTGCTGATCCCCATGTGAGCATTTTTATTTCATTTCCCAAAAGTAGGTAAATTTTAGTCCACTTGCTTAGAAGTATGTCCTAACTGTGTCCCACAAGTTCATTCAGGAGGCATGTACCCTATACCTTTGTCAACTGCCATGTTCAGGGTCCAGTGAAAATGTGAAGTAATCAAATGGCCCATTAGGTTTAATATAGTGTCCCTTTATCTGCCTTCTCTTTCTTTAGAACTGTTTATAAAGTTCTTTACATCTCAGGTATCCAGATAAATCTATATGTGAACTTTTCTCCCTGGCACATAAAAAGCTTGAAGTGTGAGTCTAGAGAGCTTTCAGTGCTCTACATAAGATAAATTCTGACTGGTGTTAGTGCTGTGAAGATAATGTTTAGTTAGAAAACCAAATGGAGGAGGAATCTTTTCAATTTGAATAAATATAAAAGCTTTTTTTGTAGTGGATGGAGGAACTTGTGTGGTTGGTAAAATAGTAATACTCTCTTTATTATCTTTTCTAATAAAACCTCATGCCGAGATGATTAGCTGATTTTCTTTAGTAATGAGTAATTACTGGGAAAGACAGGATTTTTTTCACATATAATAGCAATCCTGTCAAATAGTCATGAAGGGTTTCATAATAAATTTGTAGTTAGCATAATATACTCAGCAGTATCACTGTACAAATAGTAATATATTAATAAACTATTGGTTATATCAGTACCTTAATGCATAATTGTTACATTAATACCCTATGTATAATTGGGTTCAAACATTGACAGTCTAGTTCAGTGCTCAAAATATGATTCCCTGGGACCAGCAGTTAGTGTAATGGCTATGTTGCTGGACTCCCAGACTGCGGTTTGAGTCCCGGACCCGGTGGCTTAAACTCACACCGGGCACGTGTGCGTGCGTGCCCAAGATCCCAAAAGGAGAAGGGATTGCGGCGTGGCCATCCCCCCCCTGGGGGGTGATTTCTCACTCTCTGTCTCTCTGTCTCTGTCTGTCTGGCGAGCAGACGCGCCCTATAGCAAAAACCTTTCAAAAAAAATATATGATTCCCTGATCAACTGAAATAAAAATCTGAGAAAAGGATCCAGCAATTTGTATTTTAATAATTATCCCAGGTTGGAGCTGACAGGTGGCGTGGTGGTTAAGGGCACTGGACTCCCACATGGCCAACCACTGTTTGAGTCTTAGACCTAGCGGCTTGCCTTCTCACTCTTCCCCACACACTCTGTCCTTCTCTAGTCAAATGTAAAATAAATAAATAAATAAATAAATAAATTGGGACCAGCAGTTGGCATAATGGCTGTCGCTGGACTCCCATGTAGTCGATCACGGTTCAAGTCCTGGACCTGGTGGCTTAAACTCATGCAGGGCGCATGTGTGTGCATGCCCAAGATCCCAAGAGGAGAATGGAGGAGAAGGGTTGGTGACGTGGCCATCTCCCCTGGGGGGTGATTTCTTGCTTTCTGTCTCTCTGTCTTTCTCTGTCTTTCTGGTGAGCACACGTGCCCTATACCAAAAACCTCTCCAAAAAGAAAAAAAAATGTCCTTAGATTATTATTTTTTATTTTACTTATTTTATTTTTTAAAGAATTTTTTTTCCCTTTTCTTTGCTATAGGGTGCATGCACTTGCCAGAAAGACAGAGAGAGAGAGAGAGAGAGAGAGACAGAAAGCAAGAAATCACCCTTCAGGGGGATGGCCACGCCGCAATCCCTTCTCCTCCATTCTCCTCTTGGGATCTTGGGCACACACACATGCCCAGCGTGGGTTTAAGCCAACGGGTCTGGGACTTGAACCGTGTTCGGCAACATGGGAGTCTAGTGACAGCCATTACGCCAATTGCTGGTCCCAGGACAGTTTTTTCTAAGAGATTTTTGCTAGTAGGTATGTCCCCTTGTCAGAGAGACACAGACAGAATGCAAGAAACCACCCCCCAGGGGAATGGTCACAGTGCGGTCTCTTCTTCAGTCTCCTCTTGGGATTCTGGGCATGCATGCACACATGCCCAGTGTGAGTTTTTTAGAGCCAGCAGTTCTGGGGCTTGAACCGTAGTCGACTATGTGGGAGTCCAGTGACGTAACCATTACACAATCTGCTGGTCCCAAGACATTAGTTTTTAAAATGTCTAGTCTATGTGTCAACTCAATAAGGAGTTAATGAAAAGAAAAAACAAAAGCATTGACACTTTTTTAAAGAAAAACCTGGTAAGAGATACATGTAAGTATACATATAATGCAGCATGATAAATCCAATATAAATATCTATAGGCCAGAGAGGAGAGACTAAACTTGAGAATCTAATAGAGACAACAATGGTTAAGAGAAAAACTAGTAAACCTTGGTGCCACAAAAGCAGAGTATGGGACCAGCCAGTTGCATAGTGGTGAAGGCAACTAGATCCCACATGGCCAACTGCATGGTTTGAGTCCTAGACCCAGTTCATTAAAAACACACTTGAATGTGGTCCCAGCAGTGGCATAGTGGATAAAGCATTGGATTTCCACATGGTTGACCATGGTTCAAGTCCCAGACCCAGCAACTTGGAAATAATCCTGGGTGCGTGTGTACATGCCCAAAATCCCAAGAAGAGAATGGAGGAGAAGGGATTATGACATGGCTATCTCCCCTGGATGGGGGTGTGTGTGATTTCTCTCTTTTTCTCTGTCTCCAGCAATTGCATGTACCCTCTAGCAAAATTTAAAATAAATAAATAAAACAAAGTATGAATGATATTGTCAAACATGGTTACCACTTATTGAGTGCTTTCCTGCATACCAGGTACTATGTTAAATCATCTCCATTTCAACTCTACCTCATCTAAAGACAGTTAGGCCCAAAGAGGTTATTTGTCTAAACTGGAACCAAGACAAACCCAAGCAGACTCGGAAACACTTTCTTAAGCACTAAGTTAAGAAGCTTTTAAATGTCCAATATTGCTCAGAGTTCAAGTAGTTCTTTAAAATTTATATTAAATTTATTATTTTTAAATTTGACCAGAGAGAGAAAGGGAAAGTAAGAAGCCAAGCCACCAGGTCCAGGCCTCAAACTGATCAGCCATGTGGGAGTCCAGGGCTTTTAACTACCATACCCCCTGCCGGCCCCTCAAGTGGTTCTTAATAAGCAAGATTTATTAATAATACAAAGGAAACATCACAGCTCACATATTAGAAAATACTACGGGGACAAGCAGTTGGCATAATGGCTATGTTGCTGGACTCCCATGTAGTTTACCACGTTTCAAGCCCTGGATCCAGTGGTTTAAACTCATGCCAGGTGTGTGTGTGTGCATGCCCAAGATCCCAAGAGGAGAATAGAGGAGAAGGGATTGCAGCGTGGCCATCTCCCCGGGTGGTGATTTCTCACTTTCTGTCTGTCTCTTTCTAGCAGGCCCCACACAGCCTTAAAGCAAAAAACCTCTCCAAAAAAAAAAAAAAAAAAAGAAAGAAATACTACGTCAATAAATGGAGTCTTAACTAAAGAGATACAGTTGTTATTTGTCTGTT